TCTTCCTCTATTATTATTTTTTATTACAAATGTTAACATTTTACAGAGCTGTTGTAAATTTTGCCCAGAAAATAAGAGATCTGTTTCCCAAACATCTTGCTTTTTCCAAGTACATTTCAGATCAGATGATTTTTCTGCCTACAGTGTCTCCTAACCACCCTTGTCTTGGTTCTTGCTGTTAAGTGAAATTAAATTTAACAAGATATTTAAGAAAACATTTCATAAATAAAATGTTATATTTTCCTGTGGTCCAATCTTCTTTTGACTCCCATACTTTCCTCAGTGAAAACAAAAGTAGAAAAAATAAGATCTGCTTGTTTTTGTTGTTGTTGTTGTTGCTGTTTAAAGAGAACACAAATTAATTATCATTCAAAATCACTATACAAGTTATGTTCATCTTATCACAAGTGAATTTAATGGGCTGTTCAGATGACTTCAAAGCATAGCTTTCTTTTATCTCAACCCTTGTAGTGGTCTTTTTGTCACACATTCATGTCATTTCTGAAAAGAAAAGTAATTAGGGTAAATGGAAAGACCTATTAAAACATAAAGGCATGTTTGACTTGTAGCCTAAGTGCCACATGTGACCTGGCACAGAACAGAATGTGGCCCACCTTCTGTCCTCACTCAAGGTAGTAGTTCTGCTCTGCTGAACAGTCTGGCCTGGCCTAGGGCATGCAATCACCACACAGCAACAATCAAACTTGAATGTGCGATTAACTCTCTCTGGACTGACACCAAGACATGGGGCCAGTACAAGGCCAGTTCAAGTTAGAGCAAATGATTTTATGCATTTTGATGCTCTGGTAAATCATTCAAATCAAAGAATATCATCAAGTGTCTCTACTAGACTGTTATAAGCTCTGTCTTAACAGAGGGAAATAACCCTCACTTCACAATTATGCCTTATTCATGTCATCGCTCTTTGGCATTATGTGCATTATGTGCATTTGTGAATAACTGTTCTCAAAAATGAAGCACAGGAAAAATAAAATTTCATCCCAAATTTCTGACAAATGCTTTGAGACCTCAAAAAGAATTGCAACTACTTCCACTGAATTGTACTGATGTGTTAATTTCAATAAAAACGGTCAAATACCGCATTAGTTTTGTGTTTTGTTAATCAACTGTTATGCATTTTAATAATAATAAAAATATTTTGTTACTTACATATATTAACTACTTTATATACATTATAAGGCCTGCTCTGAAATTAATGCCTTCTGTTTTATGATATTGGCCACCACATCAGAGGCAAATGTTTGTGGTATGGCAAGAGAGATTGAACCTTCCCACCAATATTTAATTACATTTTATTTCTATGTGACAGATGACAGTAAAGTCTAACAAAAAGGCATCTGATATCAGAGTGCATATGAAATGAAGGTGTGTCAATGAATCTCTCCTTGTGGGAAAAATGGCACCCACTGATTCATCAATGCTTGCTGAATGTTTATGGAGACCAAACAGTGGACATGAGGACACTGAGGCAGTGGGTGGTGTTTCAGTGCTGGCAACAGAAATGTTTGGTAACCTCTGCTGGTTCAGATTTTTATGTGCATGGCATGCAGGCTTCTGTTCAGTGCTGATGAATATGATGATCTAATGCTTCGTATTTGAGAATTTGCTCTATTAAGCAGTCTTACTGTGCTCACTGTATCTGTTGTAGTTTCTATGGAAATAAACAGGAGGCATTACTTTCATAGCAACCAACATAGATGCAGCCCAGAACAATTCCTCTTCACTCACTGTGGCTCAGGCTAGTCAAAAGGTTGGACACTCATGCAGCATAACATCTACATTTATTATTAAGGAAGGTAATAACTTTATTCCAGAATTCTTATTCTCAGTTTTTTATGTTTTACCTAGGACTACTTTCTGAAATCAGTGCTATTAAAATTTATTCTTTCAATGTTCTTTGGAAAATGAAGTGACAACCACTCTTGCTAATGATCCAATTGAATTAATATTAGAAGTACATGTGTAATTCTTCTACTATAAGTGAGACAAAGTGAGTCCTTCAGTAAATTAGGTTTTTGAGCTATTCACCTACGTGAAAATGGTAATATGATCCCAAAAGAATTTGTGTAGTCATTATACAAAGGCATTTACTGCCTTTTGAATGTGACTATTCCTCACCATTGATGATGCCATAACAAGTTCAGAAGGCAAAAAAAAAAAAAAAAAAAAAAAAAAAAAATCAAACAATATCAAGGGAGTAGTTCAGAATAAAAAAAATAGCTTTTGAACATAAGCAGGAGAGAGTGTATGTGTCTGTGGGTCCATGTGTAGAATGTGTGGTCTGCTCCTTCTCTAGTGTGTTATCAGTTCCATTAGAATGAAGCAGTAGGGCCAATTTCAAGATTTTGCTGTTGAAACTACTGTACAGAAAGTCAAAGTGGAGGCATAGCTTTTAACTGTTTCATGATAACTACTGCAGAGTGAGTGGAAACTAATTTCTGTAACTGATGATTGAAATACATGAACAGTATCTGTTCAGATAGTAGGCTGGATCGTTCACTGGCAGGCTTTCCATGGCTTCAGAAAGCATCCTAATTCTGTAACATTTTGAATCCTGATACAAGGAATTACAGTGAAATGAGAGGATAATTTTTTCAATATTAATTCAGGGAAAGGGGCACAGTATAAGAAATTTGATTTTAGTTATTGGGCCACTGATTTGGAATTGAGTTTTATCATTCGCTGAAGTATTGGTTCCTTTGAGTTCCTACAGCTAATGCGAAGGGAAACCATGACAACAATTTCCATTTGAATGGTCAATCTGTGACAAGTTATGTCTGTATGCCTATCTCTACTCTCTAGAGCTTTACAGTTACAATAAAGGAACAAATGGAATTACCTTGATAAACATAAAATCTTAATTTACCTTAAATATCTGAGAATAATTATCTATTTACATATTCTAACATAGCTGATCAAAGTCTATGATCAATGCTACAAAAAGTTACAATTGGAGTGTGGAGAAGAATGGTGGGAGCAGAACTGTAAACACTGTCAGGTCATACACTTTAACACTATGCTTCCTTTTAGAAGTTACACAAAGTTCACACTGGAGGACAGAAATTAAAGACTAAGAATGCTAAATATAATGTTAAATATAAATAGTTTATGCTACCAAGGCATGAACATTAATTAAGTTGACAGTACCTTTTTAAAAGCCAAGAGTTATGTTTGTGAAGAAGTAAACAGAAAGTCAGGTGAATTTATCCATACACAAAATTAACAAGATAATAATAAATAAAATAAATACTTATTATGATAATAATAAGTATTTCCAAAGGAGTTCCCAAGATTGCTTATTCTTCTGTTATACTGATTCTCATATAATGAAATTGCTAAAACGTTACAATGCAATAATCTGGTTGTAGTTTACAGGTCAGACATGTGCTTTTCAGTGAATACAAGGATCATTTTATATGGCCCCTTTATATTCCTTTTGCTTATTTCTGAGTGAGTGTTTTGACAAGATCATGAATGTCCAATATCTTCATCAGTGCCCTTGATGAGTAGATAATGTCCACTCTCCACAAGTTTGCTGATTATACGAAGCTGGGAAGAATGGATGACACACCTGAAGGCTGTGCTGCCATTCAGTGAGACATGAACAGAATAAAGAGTTTGGCAGAGAGAAATCAGATGAGATTTAACAAGAACAAATGTAGTCTTGCACCTTGGGAGGAATAAGTGCATGCACCAGTACAGGTTGGGGGATGACCTGCTGGAGAGGAGCTCTGCGGAGAGGGACCTGGGTGTCTTGGTGGACGACAGGTTGGCCATGAGCCAGCAGTGTGCCCTGGTGGCCAAGAAGGCCAATGGGGTCTATTAAAGAGCATGTCCAGCAGGTCGAGGGAGTTGATCCTCCCCCTCTACTCTGCCCTGGTAAGGCCTCACCTGGAGTGTTGTTTCCAGTTGTAGGCTCCCCAGTACAAAAAAAGACAGGGATATCCTGGAGAGAGTCCAGTAGAGGCCATAGAAGTGATAAAGGTTCTGCATGACCTCTTTTACGACGAAAGGCTGAGCGACTTCGGTTTGTTCAGCATTGAGACAAGAAGACTCAGGGGTCTGATCAATGTCTATAAATATCTAAGGTGCAGGAGGAAAAGGGACGAGGCCAGACTCTTTTCAGCGGTCTTTGGTGATAGAACAAGGGGAAACGGCCACAGACTGAGGCATGGGAAGTTCTGCACAAATGTGCATAAGAGCTTTTTCATGGTAAGGGTGACAGACCACTGGAATAAGTTGTCCAGAGAGGTTGTGGAGTCTCTTTTTCTGAAGACAAGCCTTGACACCTACCTGTGTAACCTGGTCTAGGGAGCCTGCTTTTGCAGGGAAGTTGGACTAGATGATCTCCAGGCAACTTTCACCCTTGCATTCTTTCTCATGAGGTCTCTCTTTTCCACCCAATGGATGACGTCATGCTTGACCAACCCGGTGGCCTTCTATGATGTTGTCACTGGCTGGGTGGATGGGGGGAGAGCAGTGGATGTAGTCTACCTTGATTTCAGCAAGGCTTTTGATACTGTTTCCCACAACATCCTTATAACAAAGCTGAGGAAGTGTGGGATAGATGAGTGGACAGTAAGGTGAGTTAAAAACTGGCTGACTGGGAGAGCACAGAGGATCATCGTTGGTGGTGCAAAGTCTGGCTGGAGACCTGTAAGCAGCGGTGTTCCTCAGGGGTCGGTGCTGGGTCCGGTCTTGTTCAACATCTTCATCAGTGACCTTGATGAGGGGATAGTGGCCACCCTCAGCAAGTTTGCTGATGATACGAAGTTGGGAGGATTGGCTGACACGCCTGAAGGCCATGCTGCCATTCAGAGAGACCTGGACAGACTAGAGAGCTGGGCAGTAAGAAACTAGATGAGGTTTAACAAAAGCAAGTGTAGATTCTTGCATCTGGGGAGGTATAATTCCATGCACCGGTACAGGTTGGGGGATGACCTGCTGGAGAGGGGCTCTGCGGAGAGGGACCTGGGTGTCCTGGTGGACGACAGTTTGGCCATGAGCCAGCAGTGTGCCCTTGTGGCCAAGAGGGCCAATGGCATCCTGGGATGCATTAAAAAGAGCATGGCCAGCAGGTCGAGGGAGGTGATCCTCCCTCTCTACTCTGCCCTTGTAAGGCCTCATCTGGAGTACTGTGTCCAGTTCTGGGCTCCCCAGTACAAAAAAAGACAGGGATTTCTTGGAAAGAGTCCAGCAGAAGGCCATAAAGATGATGCAGGGCCTGGAGCATCTCCCCTATGAGGAAAGGCTGAGTGAACTGGGTCTATTTAGCCTTGAGAAAAGAAGACTGAGAGGGGACCTGATCCAGATCTATAAATATCTGAGGTGTGGAGGGCAGAGTGGTGAGGCCAGACTGTTTTCAGCAGTGTGTAGAGACAGTGTGTAGAGACGGCTGGAAACTGCAGCATAGGAAGTTCTGCACAAATGTGCGCAAGAACTTCTTTACAGTGAGGTGACGGAGCACTGGAACAGGCTGCCCAGGGAGGTGGTGGAGTCTCTTTCTCTGGAGATATTCAAGACCTGCCTGGACACCTACTTCTTGTGAGCTGGTGTAGGGAACCTGTTTTGGTAGGGGGGTTGGACTCATTCATCTCTGGAGGTCCCTTCCAACCCCTATAATTCTCTGATTTTGTGATTCTTTGAGGTTCCATTTCACCATTTTCTTACTAGGTCAAATACTTTTTTTTTTTTCTTTTTTCTTTTTTCTCTTTTCTTTTCTTTTCTTTTCTTTTCTTTTCTTTTCTTTTCTTTTCTTTTCTTTTCTTTTCTTTTCTTTTCTTTTCTTTTCTTTTCTTTTCTTTTCTTTTCTTTCCTTTTCTTTCCTTTTCTTTCCTTTTCTTTCCTTTTCTTTCCTTTTCTTTCCTTTTCTTTCCTTTTTTCTTTATTTTGATCGTGTGCTTACAGTCACAAATGTGATTATATAAGAAGAAAAAATATATATATCTCACATTCCTGACAAAATTTTACTCCAGGTTACTCTATAGGAAATAAATCAATCACCATAGTACAATACACAGTATTTATTTTAAAATCTTATCTTCTACTTCAGTAAAAGAATATAGTTTAAAAACAAAACAAAACAAAAACTGGAATACTCCATGATCTGTTCACTTTTAATCCATTGCTCTGTGTATCACATAAATTATAGAGAAATCTGCTTTTCTTTTTTGGATATTGGATGTCTGTTCTGACAGAACTGGAGACATACAAAGCACTAGTATAATTTTCAGGGGATTATATCTCTGCTGAATATGAATAACTTCTATTATCCACAGATAGTTTACGATAGTGAATATTTCACTAACTGCAGGACTCTGGAAGCAGTTAACACTACCCTGGGATCTGAATAATTCATAATTCTTGATATACTCTGGATACCTATAGGGCTTTAGTGAAGTGAGATAGTGTATTTTCAAGTAATTGTCTTTCTGTCCACTCAAAAATTCAATTCTTTGTACCTCATCTATTTAAAAAATCATTCCAAGCATCTTTTCTCTCTCTCACACACGCACAAAAAAAAAAAAAAAAGAAAAAAAAAAGCGCTGAAGGTGCTTTATAACACTGAGACACGTGCAACAAAAATACAAGTTGGAGTGCAGAACTGCATAATTCCTTCTTTCTCTCTTCAGTGAAAGGAGAATGCCATTCCTGATCATTGGCATTTCCAAAAACTCAGTAGAGCAACTTGTATAGTGTATTTGGTGCAGCTTTGGAAATGTCTCTTGCAGGAATGCTTGCATGAGAACTATTATGCTTATTTTATAGCCTCAGAAAATAATTACATCTTTAAATGATACATTCAGGGAGTCCATTCCATAGGAATCATAGAATGGCTTAGGTTAGAAGGGACCTCAAAGATCATTAGTTCCAAACTCCCTGCCTTGGGCAGAATTGCTGACCACTAAATCAGGTGCTAGGTCAGATTGCTTAGGGCTCCACCCAACATGGCCTTTTTAAATACCTGAGAATGAACTGCACTGCATGATAGAGAAAGGCTAGCATTTTCTTTACATGTCTTTCAAATATTTTCATAGATTTTATAGGTTTTTCAGACACTGCTTGATTGAAAATATGGAGAGAATCATATCTATCCTTGTCTGGAATTATGTTCCAAATAATAAATATATCCAGTTTTGCATGTTCTTGGTAGCCCATGAGTTTAACTTGTAGATTTCTGTGAAGTTCTTATAAATCCAAGCAACACATGCAAGCTTTTTTCAGTCTGAAATGCATCTCACTTTGCTTTATCGAGATGTTCATGAGAATAAGAAGGAAAAGAGATTCATATGAAAGTTTAAGAAAGATTTATAAAATAACATTTAAAAGGTTTTAAATTTAACATTTAGAATTGTTTTCAAAAAACAATGCAAAAGTAAAAAAGAAAAAAATATAAGGAAGGTCAAAACTAGTAGTTATCATAAAAGTTATTCAACCTAAGAAAATAAAATAAGCAGAAATTAAAACCAACCAACCAAACAAAAAGCAACCAACATTGAAGCGTGCACAGATTTCCCTAAAAATTTTAGACTTATTGTATGCAGAGATAGATTGCGCACCACTGAAAATCAATTGTTGACACACCCAATTCCTTCATGAAGAAATATGACAGATGTAAGAAGTAATAAGGTCATTTTCGTTTAAATTGTTATGGAAAAAAATGATGAACAAACATGATTTAGTATGTCTTGTTCGTTACTCACAGTTATAAGAAGTGTGCTCCAGTAACACTTAGCTGGCCAGACCAGCAATCTTCCCATGCAGAGCAGATGCCTATGTAAGACAAATGCTAGACTAAGGTGCAACCTTGGTTTATGAATCATATAATCATAGAATCATAGATCTTTTGAGTTGGAAGGAACCCTTAATGGTCATCTAGTCCAACTCTCCTGTACTGAAAAATGACATCTACAGCTCAATAAGGTTGCTCAAAGCCTAGTCCTTGAATGTCTCAAGGGAGGCGGCATTCACCACCTCTCTGGATATCCTGTTCCAGTGCTTCATCACTCTTATCTTTAAAAAAAACTCTGCCTTGTATTCAATGTAAATCTCCCTTTTAGTTTGAAACCATTTCCCCTTGCTCTATCACAGCAGACTCTGCAAAAGAATCTGTCCCCTTCTTTCTTATAGCCCCCCTTTAGATACTGAAATGCTGCTATTGGGTCTTCCCATGAGTATTATGTTCTCCAGGCTGAACAGCCCCAGCTCTCTCAGCCTGTCCTCGTAGGAGAGCTGTTCCATCCTTTGAATCAGTGTTGTGGCTTTCCTCTGAACACTCTCCAACAGGTCCATGTCTCTCCTGTACTGAAGGCTCCACGTTGTGAGAGGTAGATTGTGTTTTTGCAGTGGAAATTTCCAGTATTTCTGTATGTAGCATATGATAAGTTGCCTTTCACAAAGAAGGTTGCTGAACAGAGTAAAGCTGAAACTGGGGCATTCCGACCTAGGTAAAACTGGCATAGGCACTAGGTAAGGTAATTATATAGTACAGGGGAGAGTCTGGTACAGGACAGAACTAGTGCGCAGATAGTTGAAAATATTGTCCTTCTATCACCAGAACATACCCAAAGACAATGTGTTGGTAACAGACATCGTATGGAGGTGTAATGTAGCTATGGAAGTATAACGAAGCTATGGAAGTGTAATGTAGCAACAGTGTCAGAAGACTGTGAGCCTGAGATGCTCAACCAAAGTGTGCCAGGAGAGGCTTTACCTGCGTTAGACCCAGGGTATATAATGGGATGGATTTCACTGACTAGTTGCACAATTTCTCCCTTGTTAACAGGAGGTGCGTGCCTGATATTGCAATAATGAATAAAATGCCCTTCACAGAGATCTTTGCCTGATTCAAAATTTTTGATCTTGAGTATATTTCTCACAATATCAGGATGCAGTATTCCAGGTGAGGTCCAATTGGTGCAGAGCAGAGGGGCAGGATCACGCCCCTCGATCTGCTGACCACACTCCTTTTGATACATTACAGGATATGATTGCCTGTCTGGGCTGCAAGGGCACATTTCTGGCTCTAGCCCAGTTTCCTATCCATCAGAACCCCAAAGTCTTTTTAGACAGGACTGTATTCAACCCTTTTGTCCTCCAGCTTCTGTTGATAAAGGAGTTGCTTTGATCCAGGTGCAAAACCTTGCACTTATTATAACATATCCAAATGAATTTGGTGACATTCTCTTGATTTCTTGTTGTAGTGCAAATAATTAAATGTAAAATTTAATTGTTTATGGGTGTGGAAAGACTGAATATTTTTCAGTGTATTTGACATCTCATCCATAAATTTTAAACAGGTTTTTTTTTTTTTTTTTTTTTTTAAGAAATTTTATTGGAACATGACCATTAAATACAGTTACTAACTATGAGAAGAAAAATCAAGGTAGATTTTAAAAAATCTCATTAAAATATGTTTGAATAATTATAACAGCTTAGGTGGTATTGTTGCAGCCAAATAAATATGTTGAAATATTGTTTATGTTTTAGTAAAAATTGAAAGTTGTGGATAGAGCAATAGAAAAATTGGGAACACCAGAATGAAATACAAGAATTTCTGGGAGTTTGAAAAGTCAGCAAGACAGTGTCTTCATGTGAAATAAATGCATACTAGAAATGCAGATTTAAATTTTCTATTTGCTGTATCCATTTTCTAGAGCTCAAATATTTTAAGAAATATGGTTCTGAAAGCTTCTTTTGTGAATAACACTGTCTGTTTTAAATCTGAGTTGTTACTCATAACCATGTAAAATGCAACACTGCACTTCTATAGCTGCAGAGAAAGTAAGCTTTATTCATTTTTTTTATGCAATAATAAAACTATAAACATAAATTTGAATTTAATTTTCTAGTGTAAATCTCAAAATAAATATACATTGAAAACTAAAGTTTGGGTAAAAATATTAAAGAGAAATAGCTATTAATATTGTATCCTCAGAACTTTAATAAATTATTTATTAATCAGCACACTTATTTTCTGCTTAGAAATTATTAGTTATATGAATATTGACTAAGTTTGGAAATTATGAGGAGGACTATGACAAAATACCAAAGAATTAATCATTAATCCCACTTTCGAATATTTTTTT